TTCAGCACCTAGGGTACTATATGCCTTATATTTTTATGTTAATGCCTTCTCTTTTCTCAGGCCATGCACAAATTGTCCATCTCCTATTAGAAAGAAACAAGTTTGGAACCATCCCATCTGATAGCCAAGGAGCAACACCCCTACATTATGCAGCACAGAGTAACTTTGCTGTAAGTAGGTTATGTCCTAAATGTAAATATCTTGAACTATAAACATACATAAATTACTGTGGTTGAAATTGTATTCACAAAAACAAAGCTCTAGTTGTTTGTAAAGTAATATGAATCCAGTAGTGACTGCACAAGTTTGTTCACAATTATGTTGTATATTATGTATTGATTTTGAATTTTTTTTCAAGCCTAGAGGCCATAAATATCCTATTTATTTGTATACCACATGCACCCTTTCCCAAAAATTAGCCTTCCAAAATGAAGGTGCATATCTCAATCAGTAAAACTGATTTGTTTCTGCTCAGAATAGAACCATGGAAGTGCTGTAAGATAGCTATTACTTCCCCCCCCGCCCTTCTCTTCCCTCTAGCAGCTAGATAGAGTCTGACAGGGACAGATCCAGAGGGTGCAGTGGTCCAATTGCATTCCCCTTTGATTCCTGTTCCACTCAAGGTTTAAAACCACCAGCCCAGCAGTGGCATTTCTATTCAGGCAGTGCTGAAAGAGTCAATTGAACAGTATAATCATGGGGATTATAGGCCACCTAATTTGGAGGAGGAGGTAGATGAGGCAGTCTTCAAGCAGGTGACAAATCTTTCCAAAAGCTATGGGGTGCTACTGATGGGGGGCTCCAGGTTTCCAGACATCTGCTAGAAGAACAGTGCAGCCAAAAATAAAATGTCAAGCTAGTTTCTAACTTGTGGGGAGGACAACTTTATGTTCCACTAAGTGGAGGAAACAACTAGGTGATTGTAAACGTTGGATCTTATCCTGACAGACAGAGAAGTATTAGTGGAGAATATAACCATGAAGGTTAACTTGGGAGGAAGTAATCAGGATATGGTAGAATTCCAAATCCTGCAACAGGGAAAGCATGAAGCCAGCAAAATTAGGAGATTAGTTTTCAAAAAGGCTGATTTCATCTGATACAAGAAGCTAATGGGCATGGTGTCATGGGAGGATAGACTGAAGGATAAAGGTGCCTAGGAGGTCTGGAAGCTTCTAAGGGACACAGTATTTGAAGACCAACAAGGAACTGTCCCAGTACAATGGAAGCACAAGAAGAATGACAAGAGACCAATATGGCTGTACAAGGAACTTCTAGAAAGCCTCAAATGCAAAAGGAAAGTATACAGGCAATGGAAGAATGGGCAGGTCACCAAAGAAGCATGCCAGGAAATATAAAGAGCATGCAAAGACAAAATCAGGAAGGCAAAGAACAAGCAGCATCTTGCAAAGGAGGTTAAGGACAACAAGAAGAGTTTCTGTAAGTATGTTGGCCAGAAAAAAGGACCAAGGAAGCTATGGGTCCTCTGTTAACAAGCCAGGGGTAACTCCTAACTGATGATGCAAAGAAAGCAGAGCTACTCAAAAGTTACTTTGCCTCAGTCTTCACAAAAAAATTAAGCTGCAGCCAAACACCTATCTGCATAACAAAGGGGGAATGCTGAGAGAGAAAATAACAAAATAAATGATCACAAGGCTTTTTCTGGGTCTGAATTAATTCAAGTCAGCAGGGCCAGATGAGCTTCATCCCAGGATCCTGAAGGAACTGGCAGAGGAGATCTCAGAGCCCTTGACAATGATCCTCATGACATTATGGGAGACAGGCTAGGTGCCAGAAGACTGGAAAAGGTCCAATGTAGTGTCCCTCTTTAAAAAGGCAAGAAGGAGGACTTTGGGAACTACAGACCAGTTAGCTTCACCTTAATACCCAGGAAGTTACTGCAGCATATCCTAAAGAAGGTTTGCAGGCATCTAGAGGAGGAATGGCTGATCACAACCAGCCAGTATGGATTTATAAAAAACAAATCATGTCAAACAAACTTGAGCTCTTTCTTTGACCAAGTAACTACTTGGGTGGATGAAGGGAATGCTGCAGATATAGTATATCTAGACTTTAGCCAGGCTTTTGACAAGGTCCTATACAACCTTTTCATAAATTGGAGAAATGTGGGCTAGATAAAACCATTATGAATTGAATACATAGCTGGCTGAATAGTCACAAGCAAATGGTAATTATTAACAGGTCCATGTCAGAATGGCAGGAGGTTTTAAGTGGAGTCTAACAGGGGTATAGTGGGTTCAGGGTTAATGCTTAGCTCAGCCAGTCAACTTAAGTCTCTCACTCTGTATGTTTATTCCCAGGCACCCTTGCCACAAAGAAATCAATGTAAACCAGTCCTCAAAAAATACTCAGAAACACAGTCCATACAGGGCAACTCAGTCCTGAGGTCTCTCTTTAGACCCTGAGAAGGTGCTGCTGACTTCATGCTGCTCCCTCAGCACCTCAGTGCAGTCTTCCTTCTCTCTTGTGTAAGTTCCCCCTCCTGGTCGTGTGATGCTGCTGCCTGCAGCTTTGCAGCCTTGGGTCTTTTGCCAGACCCTGGGAGAGCCCTCGGCTCAGTTCTGCCACTGCTAGCCAAACACCTTTTCCCTCTCTCAGTCTCCACCCTCTGGCTCCTCTACCTAGGAGCCTTTAACTTGTTGTGGCCAATTCGTTATCTTTTGCAGTTAGTCCAGTTCTCCTCGGCAGACTGCAGTCACTCCTGACTGTTTGCAGCTGACTGTAGTGCCCACAAGTCTGCAGACTCCTCCAGCCTGGAGTGTGCAGTCTGCTGCAAGCCTTTGCCAGCCATCTTGCTACAATGGGGTCTGTCTTAGGCCTGGTGGTGTTCAACATGTTTATTTATTATTTGGATGCTGGCATATAAAACTTCTTGAGCAAGGGTGACAGGGGGAAACTCCTGGGGCCTGGTCACAGTACCGGCCCACCCACCTGTCTAAGGCAGTCTGCCCAGTCTCACCTGCCATGCCTTTGTTGTAAAGTAAACTGGTGTTACTATAAGCAGGAGGCTGCACATTTTAGACCCTGATGCCTAGGGGTTTGTACATGACTCCAACCTTCCATTATTATGTCCCATGCCTCGCAGATGTCTTCCTTGAGTTGCTGTTTGCTCCGGCTCGAGGCTGGGCCAAACTCAGCCCCTTACTAGGCCTCACATATTCATCCTATCATTCCAACCCAATGGGCCTCATTCACACTACCCACTCTCATCCCGGGCCTTTAGCACTCCACTCACTCTCACTGGGCCACACTCAGCCTGCCCTGTTCCCTTGAGTGGCTCCCATAGGTTATCAGGCTTGCCTACTCGCACTCCTTGACTGGCCTTGGTGCAGTCTTTCGGGCCACTCCCATGACCTTCATCTGAACAGGGACTAGCCAATTCACTTGACCCTGGATGGAGCTCTGACCTAGGCCCCTCTCTGGATAACTCATAACTCTCGCTTTTGATTAGGGCCAATTGCTTGCCCACTTGGCCTCAGGCCCACTTGCAGCCCCAGCCATCTGAAGACTTACCTAGGCCCAACTGCCCCTGTTCTGGGCCTCTACACATGCCCCCTCTCTGGGGACACCACTCGTTCACCCTATGGGCATTCTGCCAATCTCTGACTTCTAACCCCATGCACTCTACCCCTTCACTGGGATACCTACTCTGCCCCACTTGCTGGAGCCCATACTCTGCCCCTATACTGGGGCCTCAGGGTCTTACACCCTCACGGGCTCAGGTGACTCTGCCTAGGCGTGCCTGCCCCCACTACCCTCTAGTCTTCATGACCCACCAGATGGTGGAGGCTGAGGTTATCAGGAGCCCCTACCCGCCTTTCACTGGGGAGGTAACTGACCTAACATTTCTGGGTGACTGTCCCACCATGGACAGCTCCACCAGACCACCCTTCCCCAGCAGGGTGCGGTTTTAGTTCTTAGCCAGGACCAAGCAGGTCTACTGCCCTGGTCTAGCTCCCTCATTAGGGGTTCTGGATGCTGCCCTTGGGCTGTCTCTCTCATTGGGTCCAGCTCTCACTCTGGCCCCATTCTGATCTTATAACAGCCTGCATGCTGACTGATCCCTACCCTCTTTGGTTATGATGCCCCCCCTCCCCCGCAATCGAAGGGACCTCCAGCCCTTACAGGCTCTGGCCCTGCCTCCAGGCTAGTCAGGGTGCCAGATAGCTCACAGTTGGGCCTCTCTCGCGTTGAGCTTAATTGCCCTTTGGCCCTGGCCCTCTTGCATTGACCAGTGCGAGGGATCTGAGAGCCAACCTAGCAGCTGCTGATGCTATACTCCAGAGAGGGGTCCCTCCTGGGTCCCACCAGAGAGCCCTCTTCTACTCCGGGGCTTGCCTGGCCCCCTTGTAGGCCTACCAGCTGTTAACCCCATGCCTAGGCTAGGCCTTGTTCTAACTAGGAAGGTTTTCTTCCTGGGGCTCTGGACCTCACTGGGTCTGTAGGTACCTCCTGCCATCCCCATAATTCCTCCCTTACCACCAAGGTGTTCCATGAGCAGAAGCTCAGCCAGATGTTGTTGCTTCTTTGGGTGCTTGCAGTGAACTGCTGCCTCAGCTCTGAGAGCCAGGATCTAAAATGCCTGCCTCATCGAGCTGGCCTGCACCTGCCAGCTACCTGCTCTCAGCCCTTAAAGTGACGGAGCATCAAAGGTGCTCCATCACACAAGTTTGTACACAACATGAAACTGGGAAGGATTGCGAACACATTGGAGGATATGAGCACAATTTAGAAGGATCTCGACAGATTGGAAAGTTGGGCTAGAGCTAACAGGATGATGTCCAATGTGGACAGATCCAAAGTGCTACACCTCAGGAAGAATAATTGAAAACACAAATACAAAATCGGTGACACATGACTGGATAGCAGTACTGTGGAAAGGGGCCTGAGAATCTTGGTAGATCATAGATTCAATATGAATGCAGACTCAATATGCAACCACACAGAAGGTGAATGTGGATTTGGATGCATCAATAGAAGCATTAGATTCAAGGCGTGGGAAGTGATAGTGACTCTCTAGTCAGCACTAGGTAAACATCATCTGGAGTAGTGTGTGCAGTTCTGGACTCCACATTTTGAAAAAGGACATGGAGAAGTTTGAGAGGATCCAGAGGCTGGCAACTAAGATGATCAAGGGCTTGGAAGGCAAGTCAGATGAGGAGAGTCTGAAGGAGCTAGGCATGTTCAGCTTGTAAAAAGGGTGTTTCAGAGGGGACATGATAGCAGTCTTCAAATACTTGAAGGGCTGCCATAAAGAAGAGGGAAAGCACCTTTTCTCTCTTGATGCAGAGAGGAGGATGTGGACCAATGGCTTGAAGCTGCAGCAAAGGAAGTTTAGACTGGAT